AGCAGAGAGTTCCAGAGGAATGTCTATATGTGTTTCATTGACTATGAAAAGGCATTTGACTGTGTGAACCACAACAAACTGTGGCTAACTCTGAGAAGGAAGAGTGGGAGTTCCAGAACACTTTACTGTGCTTATGTAGTCATTAGAACAGAGCAAGGAAACACCGCATGGTTCAAAATCAGGAAAGGTGTATTCCCAGGGATGCATCTTATCTCCATACATTTTCAATCTTTATGTAGATCAGATCATCCAGGAGGCTTGGCTATATGAGGAGGAATGTGACATCAGGATTGGAGAAAGATTCATCAACAACCTGCATGAGATGACACAACCTTGCTTGCCAAAAATGAGGACGACCTAGGACACATGATGCAAGAGGTCAAAGACTGTAGCCTTCGATATAGATTGAAGCTCAACATCAAGAAAACAGAGATTCTCACCACTGGGCCAATTGGCAGTATCATGATAGATGGTAAAGAGATTGAGATTGTTAACAGCTTTAGTTTGCTTGGCTCCACTGGTATCAACAATCTTGATACCAGCATCCAGGAAGTCAAAAGATGCATTGCATTAGGAAAATCTCCTGTCAGGAACCTTTCCAGAGTACTGAAGAGCAATGATGTCAGTTTTGAGACTAAGATGTGCCTGATCCAGGTCATGGTCTTCACAATTACTTGCTATGTATCAGAATGCAGGACAATGACTAAGGATGATAGAAGAATTGAGGCCTTTGAGCTGTGTTGCTGGAAGAGTATTGAATATACCATGGACTGTTAGGAGAACAAATAGGTTTGTCCTGGAGAGGGTGAAACCAGGCTACTCCATGGACACAAGGATTCTGAAGCTCCATCTGACATACTTTGGGCATGTTGTAATAAGGGACTAGTCCTTGGAGAGGAACATCATGCTTGGGAGGGTGGAGAAACAGAGCAATGAGCTTGACACAGTGACTGGGGTAATGGAGGTGGATGTGTCAGAGATGATGAGGTTAGCACAAGATTGAGCAGGGTTCAGAGCTGTTGTACACAGGATTACTATGAGTCTCAAGTGACTTGATGGCACATAACAACAGGAAGAGTTTTCTTGTGGGTTCTTTGATATTTTAATGTATAAGATTATGCCTCCTGTGAATATAATTTTACTTCTTCCTTTCCAATATGGATGGATTTTGCTTCTTTTTCTTACCTTTTATAATAACTCTCAGAATATTATTGAATAATAATGATGATGAAAACAGGCTTCCTTGTTTTGATATAGTAAGGGTGTCTCTCATTCTTGATACTGGTAAGTTGTAGCCCCACCCCCACCCCAATTAGTCTGCCTAGGAGTTTATTCACCTTATTAAACCTTTCAAAGAATCAACCTTATCTTCTTTATTAAATACCCGATTTCAATGCTGTTGTGAATTTCTGCTCTTTTCTCCATTCTATCCTTGAGTTTCATTTGCTCCCCTCCTTTCTGGTTACTTGTGGTAGCAGCCTGGATGATTATTTGAAAATGTTCGTTCTTTCTAATAGGATCATTTTATGTTCTCAATATGCTTCTAAGCATTTTGATACTTTTATCTCAGGATTTTTATTATGCTGTGTTCCCATTTTAACAAAATTAGTTGCTAATTTTCCTTTTTATTTTCTTATAGAGTCATGGATTGTTTAAAACTAGGTTATGTGAACAATCAAATGTGGGAGATTTCCCAAGTTCAATTGCACTGTGGTCAGGAAACAGACTCTGCATATTTTTATTTAAACTTAATACAGCTAGTCTTCCAGCCCAGATATGATCTTTATTGCTGAATATTCCAAATGTACTAGAAAGGAATGCATATTTGGTCAGTGTTTAAGAAAATGTACTATAAATGCCAAATAGGTCCATTTGAGGCAAAACCTTCCATAACCTAAAGTTCCATTATGTTGTTTCAGAGAAGAGTTTAAGATTCTCCCACTCTAATATGGATTCTTATTATTTTCTGCTTCATGAGTCTTGAAGGTACATAGTATTTAGAATGATACGTCTTTTTGGTAGATGGATTATTTTATCCCCAGCAATATTCAGTTTGTTGATATTAATACAACTAGTCTGGGTATGGGATAGCTTTTTATCATCTATTATCTTTTACTCTGTTGTGTGTCATCAAGTTGGAACTGATTCTTGTGTGATCCTCCAGTGGATTTTCAGAGGCTGTAAATCACACAGGAAGAGATGGCCCATTTTTTTCTCCTGTGGAGCAGCTGGTGGATTCAAACTGTGTTTGGTTGGTAGTACAACTTCTTCCCCAATAGGTGACCAGAGCTTTCTACTCTATATTATTGGTAAAGTTTCTAATAGACAACATGCTGTTGTTGTGTACTGTTGAGTCAGAACCAACCCATAGCTGACCCTCCAGCTGGTTTTCAGAGGCTATCAATTGCACTTTACAGTATGATTTTGGGGGAAGGAAGACTACTACTTTCCCACATGGAGCAGCTGGTAGATTTGAACCACCTGCCTTTGGGCTAACAGTGCACCTACCTACCCACTAGACCACTGGAACTCCCTGCCAGATAACTAGAAGAGACTAAATATTGTTTTTGCAGAGACATAGACAACTGTATGATATGGTGGAGTGCTGAATCAATCTGTTCAGGAAGTTGGCTGACCTTGGGCTTTGTTGCAATGGCTATCTTCAGGGCACCACTGACTTTAACTATCCCTAGTGTTATCTTGTACTTATGATAGGAACCAAAGTGCTGGAGGACTCTTCTCACTGCTCTTGCTCCAACCTCATCGCTGTGTATCTGTGCCATGAACGGATTCTTTGTTCACATTCTTGCCCCTTTTCAGTGTATCCTGCTGTTGTTGTCAATAGGAACAAACTAACTTGATGATGGTGATAAGAAATGTTCTCTGTTGCCTTGGGTTAAGCTCAGCCTTAAGTAGGGATTGGGGAAAATTGAGACCCTAGTCGCTTTGAAAAAAACATTATAACACTACAAGGAGACAGCGGCTTTCCTTTCCCTGTGAACAAAAAAGTGGGAGATGCTGTCATTTTGTGATCCATTTGAATTGTTGTTGTTAAGTGTCATCAAGTATGACCTATAGTGACCTCAACAACAGACCTAAAACCTGTCCTGTCCTGCACCATCCACATCTCTGACACACTTATGCCCATTGCTGCAGTAATGTGAGCACGCGCACTTGTGTGTGTGTGTGTGTGCACGCGCGCGCGCACACACACACACACACACGTGATAGAACTAAAGAAAATTGATATGGAGAATAACCCAGATTCAACTCTTGCTCCATTTGCAGGCTTTCATTTACATGCAAAAAAAGGTCTTGACTTTTAAGCATTTTAAAGTTAGACTTCATATTGCTTACAACTAAAAACACTGTAATGAATAAAGCAAACTCTAGTTCTCACTGTTGCTTTGGAAGTGACAAGAACAAAGAAATGCATTAATGGCTCTGGATTTCTGATGACACAGTGCAAATTGATATAGCCCCTTGGCAGCCAAATTAAAATGGTTTTTATTAATTCAGAGGACTGAATGCACAAGTTCTTAAGAATAAAGCGTTAGTATCTCAGTAGCTCTTTATATTGTTTTCAAGACATGTTCTTGTAAAATGTTGTCAAGATACTATGACTCATAGCGACTCTATGAACAACATATCTGAACCCTGTCCATTCTGCACCACTCTCACAATCTCCACCATGCTCAAGCCCATTATTAAAGCCAGTGTGCTAATCATCTTGTTGAGGGTTTTCTTCTTTCATTGACCTCCACCTTTCCCAGCATGATTCTTCTTCCAAGGATGAGCCCCTCCTGAAAACATGCCCAAAATATGTGAGATGATCTTAGCATCTTTGCCTCTAAGGAGCATTCTGGATGCACAGCTCTAGTAAAACTGGTAAATGTTTACTGCAAAGATTTCTTTTTTGAGTAAGATACAAAAAAGAAGAAAAACGACCACCAATAAAACTGCTTACAAAGGAGGAAAACCCTCTGAGTACAAAATGGTGAGGAATCTTACTCAATTTTTGTAAAATCATTGCTACTGCTCTGCTGAAATGCTTCACTTTTCATGCAAATGGGATTTAAATGACAAGGAAACAGAAAACCAAGTATTTATTTGACATTTATTAAAAAAATACTTGTAATCCTAACCATTCCAAATGTTATGGTAAATACTGTTTTAATACAGGATGAAAGTGAAAATTCCATTCTTCAAAATGTGTTCTGTTTTTAAAAAGTTAACCAGAAAGTCTAGAGGTTGTCACTAAAAGCACCAGTCATGCCAAACACACACACAGAGCTAAATTTAAATTGATGGTACAGTGTATAGAAAGAGATCAAATATTGGGAAATTTTGCACTCCCCTGAAGATGGGACAGAGGCTGGAAACAGAGTTACAAGCAAACTCATGTTACTTCAGGTTGCAATACTGCTTGATGTCCTACATGTCAAATATTTATCTAAATTGATTATATTAAGGTTGCTTTCAGCAGTATTCCTCCTCTAAACACATTTTAACTGTATTTTAGAGGAGAGGGATAAACTTAGTAAGAATTCCAAACATAACTTTATCAACTTCTACTCATTTATAAAAAGTATTGAACATCTAATATTAGCTACGTGATACCATAGCTTCAGACTTAACAATGACCTAAAGTCCTTCCCTTACAGTGTGACATGAATTCTAGGAGACATGGATTTGGATAAGTTCACCACTGAACTTTTGTTAAAACCTCACCTCCTGTGCAATAACTGATACTGTGATTCTGACCTTAGCTCCCTGAACACTTACTGTTAGGTGTCTCTGTTACATGACCAACTGACTATTATGATTAATGACACTTGGTAGAAAACTTTACAGTTTCCATTAAAGTGAAAAATCAATAAAGTAGAAAA